AGAGTCGTTTACTGACTGTGGCTTAGCTAAGTCACTTCCCCTCTCTGAACTTCAGTTTCCTTACCTGTAAGTTGGGATAATAATATTACCTCCCTTGTAGAGCTGAGGTGTGGAATCAATTATTCATAACATGTAAAGTACCTAGCATGGGGTCTGGTAGGAAATTTCGAAAATGGCAGTTACTGCTATGACGATGATGATAACGATGACGACTCAAGTAGGGAGAGTTGGGGCTTAGAGAGGCATGTTTGGACTTGACTGAAATGCTGGGACAATGAAATAAATGTTCGAGGCAGCCTAGCAGGTCCTGTGATAACCACCACCACCCTCCGTAGGTAGCTCCTCCAGCTGTGAAAACATCAGGACAACCTGGGCAGAGCCAAAATGACATCAAAGTCCCAGTGTGCACATGCCTGCATTTTACCATTGGAGCAAAAAAATGCTCTCACCTCAGGACTACCACCATCCCAGGCCTTCCTTCTGCCTGCAAACTGTGGCCCTGTGGTGCTGGTCTGTTTTTCCAAAAGGACCATTTGTTTAAATAAGCCTGCCAAGTAAAAGGATCCAGATTTCTCCTCTTCTCTCTTTAAAAAAGGTACAGATGTAAATGTGCTCGAGGTGGTCTGTTTCTGCCATGACTAATAAGTAGAAAAAAGACAGTCACTTACTAAACAGACCTGCAATTAATTAATATTGGGACCTCCAGAGGGTTGATGTGGGGATGGGCTCTTGGTGAGACCCACAGGCCTGACAATTTTACCCACCCAGGTTTTGAAACCAGTTTGGAAACTGTCAGGAAACCCCATTAGCCCCAATTTCCTCTCAGACAATCTTCGAGGATGAATCCAGGTTAACCAAGAATATGAAAGTCACTCAGCTGGTACAAGGTCCACAGAGGCTTCATCGTAAAGAACAGATGTCAGTGTCCCAAGCCAGCTGTTCTCAGAATGAGGTTGCCAGATTTAGCAAATTGAAATAGAGAATGCCCAGGTAAATTTTGAATTTCAGATAAACAACACATAATGTTAACTCCATCCCAAACATTGCATGGCACAAACTTGACAGTGAAACATTATTTGCTGTTTATCTGAAATTCAAATTTAACTGGCCATCGTATGTTTTCTCTGGACCAGGAATGACAACGGCAGGGCAGAAAGACACACAGCTCAAACTGCAGAGGTCTCCAACTGGCGGCCGTAAGGAAGTTCATTGCAGTCTTCACAGTTTATAAAACTGGAATCAGTTACCAACATTTTAAAGATTTCTGGCTTCCACTAAACTGGGAAGCTCCAAGTATGCTGGTAGTAGCAAGCCCACTGTAACACCGTGGGGATAAACTGGAGCGTGGGAAAATTGAAAACTGCTTTCTGATTTGTCAGACGGAAGGTATCACGGATAAATTCATTTTTGGCTGGTTTGTTGCAGAAGCTTAGTGATTGCCCAGGCAAGAGCCCATGCTTCAGGCCTGGAGAACTTGCCCTTTCTCAGGCTCTGCTGCAGCAGTCGATTTCAGACCCCACAAGTGCTGGCTGCAAGATCTAAAAAGCTTGGCCCCTGCAACGCCACTGCTAGGTCTTCCCCTTCCTAGCCCAAGGGTGGAGGCTTTACTCCATAGGCTGGAGAAATATATGTCCACAGTGCGCCCTACAGATATCAACCAGAGCTGCAAGTCCTGGATGGGATCCCCAGCACCATCTTCCCTGGCAATTGTGTTGCCACCATTAGGAGTGAGGCAGGTAACATCTACAAGGAGGAGAAAAAGGAAAGACTGAAAAATAGTGAGCACTTCAGGAGATTATTCTATGTTCCAGGCAGAATTATAAGTGGTCCTTTGCTCCCCAAAATATCCCCATAAGGTGGGTTCCATTATGTCTCTATGTTTCAGATGAAGAAACTGAGGCTCAGAGAGGTGAATCACTTGCTCAAAGTCATGGCTAATAAGGCAGAGCCAGGATTCAAACCCAAGAAATCCAATTCCAGAGCCCATGCTTTTTAAAAATATTTGTTTAATTATCATACAATAAAATTGACTTTTGGGCAGAGGAGTACAGTTTTATGAATTTTAACATACGTATAAATTCATGTAACCATCACAGTAAGGATACCCCAAACTTCCTTGTGCTATTCATTTACACTCACACCCCCTACCCATCTGAACTTCCGGCAATCACTGATTGTCCCCCACCACTATAGTTTACCTGAGAATGTCAAACCAATGGAATCATGTAGTGTGTAACCTTTTGAGACTGGTTTCTGTCACTCAGCATAATGTCTCTGAAGTCATCCCAGTTGTTGGTTGTATCACTAGTTTGTTCCTTTTTGCTCAGATGAAGATAGACATTACTGACTGAACACCAAATGCTGTTTTGATATCTCATTTGATCCTCACAGTAGGTAATTAGAGAAGGGAATGTTGTCATGCTAATTTTTGTCTTGTTGAGCATCTACTGTGTACAGGAAATAGCTCTAGAAACTGCAGGGAATGCAGAGAACAGAAAACACTCCTTGTTCTAGTAGAAGGCAGTAAGTTGGAGAGAAAAAAGAAGGGGCTTTGGAGTCAAACAATTCGGAGTTCGTGACCCAGTTCTCTTATTTAGAGCTGGGAACCGTGGCTGTCTGAGTCTCCATCCTCATCTGTAAATCGGCGTAAGGATCACACCAGTTCTCTCCTCACAAGGGCTGTTGTGATGAGTAACAAAATGTACACATCAGTGCCTTGGCTTAGCACAGTACGGCCACAAGGCAAGTGTCTGATTCATTCCTTCATTTAACAGGTTATTTCTTGAGTGGCCTCCTACCATGTGCCCGGCTGTGGAGATGTCACAGACAGACAGGAAGAAGAGTTGCTACCTACATGTAGTCCTGGTTTAATGGAGGATGGTAGACAGATGATAAACAGATATGCTAATTATACATACAATGTATATATACCATACATACACAGCCACTCTTAGGCAGTGACAAGTAATATGAAAAATACAAGGTAAGGTAATTGAAAGGGCAGAAGTTATTTTAGATAGTCCCCCAGGGAAGGTGACATTTGAGTAAACCCCTGCTGGAGACAAAAGAGGGAACCATGCAGAGATCTGGAGGTGGGGATGCGGGGAGCTGGATTGGTCATTCCAGCCCGAGGAAACAGCAAGTGCAAAGATCTAAAGTGACGGAAGTTAGGAGGCTGAAGGATATTGAGAGAAGACAGGCAGGTGAGGCCAGAGATGGAGAGAAAGATGGTGCAGGCCATTGACTCTGGCTTTTAGAGGTGGGGAGACATTGGAAGGTTTTGGGCAGGGCAGAGGCATATATTTGATTTTCAAGATTTCTCTGGCTCCATGAGATCACCGGGGGCAATGGTGGAAGCAGAGTCTGATAATCAAAGCTTAGATGGTGGCAGCTTAGGTCAGGGAAGTGGCAGCAATGGAGGTGGTACCTGGGGTGAATTTCACATATATCCTGAAGGTATTACCAATAGGTTTTGCTGATGGCTTCACACAGGAAATGAAAGCAAAATATCCTTCAAGAACTCCAAGATTTTGGGCTGAGCTACTAAAGTGTGTTGCCTGTACCTAGGATAGAAATGATTGCGTTAAGAGGCAGCCTTGGGAGGAAGGTTATCAGCTCAGTTTGGACAAGTTAAATTGAATGCATGAAAGGCAAAACAAAATTAAGTCTGGAAATACAGGTTGAGGCCACAGTGAGCTTTCAATGTCTTGATGAAACAGGTTCTTGCAGCTGATGTTCAAAATGTCAAAACAGGCCTTTTGATTATTGAGCTCTGTATCTTTTGCTGGATAAACGAGCCCTTAAGTTTAGTGACTTGAAAAACATCTAACCTCATTATTCTGTAGGTCAGGAACCCAGGCACACATTAGGTGGATCCTGTTTCAGGGTGTCTTGAGTGTTTAATAGGTGTTCACTAAGGATTGAAAAAGATATGCTTCCAAACTCAGCTGGCAGGACTCAGCTCCTGCATTGCCTGGAGGCCGCCTGGTTATGTGGACATCAAGGCAGCTCGCTTCATTAAAGTGATCAGGGTGAGGAATGGGAGACAGGAAGGGAACCAGCAGTGTCATGTCTTCTATAATCTCTATCTGTTGACATCCTCTTAATGCCCATTTTCTCGTCATCAGAGGCACTAATGTAGCACGTTCACGGGTAGACTGAGGGCGGCATTTACCAGGAGCCATCTTAAAAAGCATAATACAAACAGTCCAGTGTGGATGCCTTCTTTGTACATAATGTAAAACTGCATGGGAGTCAACATGGAACCAGACTGGCTGCTTTCAGGCCATTGTAATTTCCCATAGTTCAGCATTACAAATACTCAGTATTATCAAGCACAACCCTCATAACGCCTATTCATCTCATACATTAGCTGTAAATAGTCCATGACTGAGTGTACACAACTGTGGAAAAAATGGAAATTTCTGACCAAGAGTCCCACCTGGCTCTAACAGCACCCATTCTATAAATTAAGAGCCTGCTTTGCATGCTTGAGGGCAAGATGTTTCCCTGCAAGAGCCACTCGGTCAGTACCAGGAGTACCTGCCCAGGGGAGGGGTGGAAACACCCATCCTCTCCTTCAGATGGGGTCTGCCAGTCACCAGACTCACCCAAGGTTCCTCTCCTGGTGCTAGGGGTGGGGAAGTCAAGGGCCACCAGGAGAGTGAGAGGCGTGGGGCCCCAGTACTCCTGGAAGATTAAGACTAAGTGTGCCAGCAGGGAGCTTGGAGAGCAAGGTAAGCCTGCAGGAGACCTAGAACTGTGACACCAAGATCCCCTTTTAACCCCCATTTCTTGCCCTTGCCTTTAACTTGTCTGGGGAGGGGAACCCCCTCCTCCCGGAGCAACAACCCTGTTCTGAAATGCCTGTGTAAACAAGTGTTGATCTGCCTTCAGTCCCCTCTCCCTCTGCCTTGGAATTTGACCTCTGCAGATACCTGGTTGTTTCTTACCAATGCTGTTCAATGTTTCTCTTCTTGAACAAATACAGGAACATTCTGATTTAAAATATTTTTTTTATTTTTCTCCAGATAGGCTACAATGCTAGAAATTTCACCAATTTAAGAATAATCCTTGATTCTTCAAAACAGGCACAAGCTTTTCAATTCTGCAGTCCTCAGGTTACAAAATAGCCTTGATATTGACTCAATCACAACCATCAACTGTCTCAGGAAAACACAGGGTCAACCTTTTTCAAGAGGCCTTGTATTCCAACACCATAGTTGAAAAACTCCTTTAAAAAGAAAAAAGGTTGATCACAATTACTACTTCATTCTAATGTTAAGTGCCTATTTAGGGTCTGGGAGCCTCTGGTTAAGACTCTAGGAAGCCCAGAGACTCCCTATCTCTTCCTAGGCTGCACCTCACTGAAGCCAACTGTACGTGTATGTCAAAATGTTCAACCTCAAAATAAAGCCTTTCCAATTACATACAGGCAAGGAGAGAAATCCAGGACCACACCAAAAGGTCTTCCCATTGATTTTAGCGGGACTAACACAATATAAGACACTTGAAACAAATGGGGGTATCTGAATATTAAGTGCATAAGCCAACATCAGACACTATTCTTAGTTGCCAAGGACGTTATGTGAGAGATCGTTTTTGTATTTAGATGAATCTAAAAGAAACATACATGGTTTTAGTCAGGAAAGCATCTAATTGCTTTCAAATGGCAAAAACTATGCATTTATACAAAGTAAAATATTTTAAATTAGGGTAATGAGTGATCACTGACATTAATGCCAACTCTTCTCCATGCCAGAGATTTTTCCTAAGTGGGGGACAAACCACCCACACGGCACATCTATTAGTGAGCAACCACACAAATCTCGGGTGGAAGCAAGCTGTTGCTGGTGTTGCTTCTCCCACCTCCTACTAAAGCAGGATACTAGGCATGCCAGGGGATACCACACCATGGACCAACTGGACAGAAGCAACCAGTAAGTTAGTGCAATTTATTAAGGGGCTGTACACATCAACTTAAAGGCATACAATCAAGGTCTGATTTGGTCAGAGGGGTCAGGCTTAAATCTTACTCCTTAAGCATGGTTAATCTGATGGGGAATTAAGTTTCAGACATGTCAGACATACACCACCTAGTGCCCAAAGGATACAGAATCAGTTTCAGGGGGCAGAAGGTACATACTAGCCTGTCTCTTTGGCTCATGAAGTGAGCTGCCATGCTGGAGAGAGACCCATGCAGTTAGAAGTAAGGGTGGCCTATAGCCAGCAGTATGAGGAACTGGAATTTTTGTACAAGATCCACAATCAATTTGAATCCCAACTCCAATGTGACTTGGAGCTTCTATTACCTGACAGGGCAGAATTAACTATTAACTTTATTCCCCTTTCTTGAAAGACCTAGTAGTACCAGTAGGTCAGCAATCCTGCTGAAGATTCACTTCTTCCATTTTACGTACCAACTTGGAACTGGGTCCCCAGGTTACTCCTAAGCGGGTACACTTAACAATCATCTTATTAGGAGTCGATACCCTGGTAACACCATTTGCAGAAACCTCACCTGTCTGTTAGAGGACAGCACGTGAACCAGGCCGACATGAAGCTTAGGCTGCAATCAACCTTGAGTCACTGCCCGGGTGCACACCTGGCTCCTGACCTGTAGAAAGTTAACAGAAAGAGCAAGATGAAGGACCTTTATGCTGAGGGGGCAGAACACCCATAGAGCAAGCCCAATTCCCACAAAAAAAAACCCACATAGAAAGCAGTTAGTGGTAAGCAGCAAACAGAGGTGGTCTCTGGGGCCAATGCATAAGACAAAACTGGCTAATAGTTGTTAGATTAACAAGGTCGATCTGATGGGGAAAAAAGCTATGTCATAAGCTACAATGGCCAAAGCTGAGTCACAGGAAGTTAAGACTGCAAGGGGCATAACCCTGTATGTAAAAAAGCAGTTACTACCTCTTCCCTACTCCAAAGCCTGTATCTATTCAGTCTCGTGGGCACAGGTACTTAGAAGCCAGATGCACCATCCTTCCCCACTCCTGGTCCATTCAGAAGTCCACTTTCAGCCAACTGTAAACCTGAGATGAAAACATTGAAACATGAGTTCCAATCAGCTAGAAGTCCAAGGGAGTAGGGGACAGAGAAACTGCTCAAACAGGTGTATCAGACGGAAACTGGCTTAGTTAAGTTAGATCAACATGGTCGATCTGTCGGGGAAAAAAGTTCAGTCATCATATACACCAGTAGGAAGCTCTCAGCTTGTACAGAAAAAGCCCTCAACCAGGACTGAGATTTTGGTCTTTTATACCTGCAAATTCACTCAGTATTTAAACACCTGAGTCCTGCTGTTGGCAGTAAGAAAATAGGATCTAAAACAAGCACTGCTGCTTTCTGAGCTTACATTTGATACAGTCCAGTGACTGGCAAGTTGTAGTGGAAATGGCTGACTTTTAATGAGGTGAGTAAGCAACCACCGTTTTTAACCAGGTGAGGATATTACATATTCATGTATGTCACCACTAAACATATGACTTAAAGGAACACTATGGGACAGCAAGGTTTAAAAACATGTCCAAGGTGTCCTGCCCCAAGGGCATCATTCCCAGGCTCAAGCAAATTTAGAAGTTAGGCAGTTGGGAATGAATTTTTGAGTGGCTATGTGAACTGAAACAGATTTGACTTTTCTTTAAAAAAAAAAAAAAGTCACATTATTTACTTTTAAGACTTAAATGCCTAACAAAGCTAATCAAAAAACAAAACTTATCAAGAAAGCTCGATCGACAAACATTAAGGAATGGAACCCAAAAATGTGCTTTCGGGGGCATTAAAAAAATTAACACCTACTCACAAAATTACTCCACTTCTCTATTATTTCTCTTAAGATTGTTTCTTCAACAAGTCTAATAGGTACATTTTTGAGAATTCTCAAAAATGTATTGTTAGAATTGTATTAAAATGAAAGCATACAGAATAGACCTAGTATACCTAAAACATACTTAAAACTAACTACCGTTAAATCTTCAGTTTTTTCTCCTAGTTCGCCTAGTAAACCAAGAGGCTCTTCAGAGCACGTGTTTCCCACAATAGGCTTGGAGACAAATGCTTACCACAGAGGCCAGGAGGCCGAAGACTGCAGATGTCCACACCGGGTTTCCCGGGAAGCCCAGCAGTCACCCCCTCGTCCCAGATCCATTCTGCACCCAGTGATAGCGCTAACCTGCGAAGCAACAAAAAGAGGCCATCAATCGCCATCTTCCCAGGTCGAAAAACAGCACGGTCGTGCCTATAGAGGCCGGTGTGTCAGAACTAACTGGCTAAAGTGTGCAAAGACATCAACATGGTCGATCTGATGGGGAAAAAAGTGAAGTCATCATTTACACCAGCCAAGGATTCCTCAGATCTGTGCCCAGGGCGCGGTTCTTCCCAGCTCTAAACGATCTCCCCCACGACCCTAAGGCCTATTTAAGGGTCAGAAGAGGGAAATCCAGGCGGGGAGGGAGCCACGGATAGGTGAGACGGCAAAAAAGTGAACAGCGGGGTCTCCACTTACCGTACACAGCAGTAAACCTGAGTTCCCAGGGCAAGACGACATCGGATATAAAACGATTACACCACCTAACAAAAGAGGACGCGCCGCCAAGGCGAAAGAACGAGCGCGGCCCCGGAACCGCCTTATATAAGCAGAGGGTGCTCTTGCGCTTGCGCACTGGGTCCGAGGCGATTCCCTTTCTCTGCCACGCCCCTCCCCTGCCGCGCGCGCGCGCGCGCGGGGCCCTCTGAGCCTTTCAGCCGGAAGCCATTTAATGGTTGCCAAGGCCCTCTAGCCCCGCCCCCTTCCGTACACTCTGGACCCTCGGGTTCTACAGGCCCACCCGCCCTGTAGCTGTTGACACGCACCGGGGCGTCTGCTGGGTTTCCCTCCTCCGGAGCCAGCCGAGGCCTCCGCCCTATACGCTCCCCATCCGTAAGCCGCCTCCACCGGAGCCCGCCCGCCCTGCCGCTCCGGGTGGCTGAGGCGTCGACCGCCCGTCAGTCAGCCCGCCCCTACGAGGCTTGAGGGCGGGGACAACCCCCGCGCCGGGGCCCGGTTCCCTCCCGCGCAGCCCCGAGGTCCCCTCCTCCTCTTCCTCCTCACCGCCCGCCCGGCCCCTCGCTCCGCCCAGCGTCTGCGGGGAAGGGAAACCGAAAGTGCGCGGCGCCGGGCGGGGCCGCGGACCTACCTCGGGAGCCCGACTACCAGTTCACGACGGCGGCACTGCGAGCGGACGCGCCGAAGCCCAGTGAGTGGCCCCCGCCCCGCACCTGCTCCTGCCCGCTGCGAACCCCGGCCCGCGCCGCCCCGCCCCGCCACTGCCGCCGCCCTCGGCGTCCGGGCAGCTGCTCAGCCCCTGGCGCCCCCCTTGCCCCGCGCCCACGACCCCGGCAACTCCAGTATCCCGACACCCCCTCAGCGCCCTTATCACCTCCTCAGTCCCCGGCACCTCCATCCCCCGTCCCAGCCCCACCGATCTCCGCCATCTCCTCCATCACCCACCCCAAAGCCTACCGTCACCACCTCTGCCCCATCGAGTTCTCCGTGCCCGATACTCATCCTCTCTCTGCCACAGCCATCCCCTTAAACTTACTCTGGCCTCACCTCCCATCACCTCCTTCATCCCCCGTCTTCTACGAGGCACCCTCGGTACCGAGACTCCCCGTGCCAGTTTCCAGAGCCCCCCGTCGCTTCAGCAGGCGCCCCTCCAGCTGAGCTCAGCCGCACTCTTTTCTGCCTAAGGCCCCCAGACCTCTTCAACCCGCCCCCTCTCCGCGGCCACTTCGCACCTCAACCTTGGGGTGGCACCTTCTTCACCCACCACATGGCCTTGGCTCTCCGCTGACCCCATAATATTGCCGTCAGGATATGGTGGGCTCCTGGGTGCCAGTGACTCCCCATCCTTTCTTCTGCCTTCTCAGGATCCTGGAACCTTCCTGCTGAAACCCAGCTCTGGCCTCTTGATCCAGCCTCTTTCATTCCACGCTGGCAATAACCCTTCTCTAATTTGATCCCTGAACCAGCTTAACTATCCCTAAATTTCTTCTTCTTTGCCGGCCTACTTAGGCCTTCATTCCTAAAAATCCCTCTCTAGTCTGCTTTTTTCCGTAGCATTTCCTGTTCCTCTTTGCTCCTCCTCTCCTTGCCTGTTTTCTCCCATTTCTTTATTCCCAGAAAATTTCTGAGTTTCTATTTCAGTATTTTTAACAATAGGAAGGAGGAATTTTCCCCTCAGGAGAATTTTCTTTTCGTTAAAAAAACAGACTGCACCATGAGAGCTCGGTTTGATAGCGTGAGGGGAAAAGATTCACCCAAAATATTCCCAGCAGGAAGGAAAGGGACTCCTTTTGATGAGGATAAAAGCTATAACTTATATAATGCCAAATCTATTCAGTTTCCAGCTATGAATATTTTAAAACTCAGAGACAGTCTCAAAAATTCCTTTCCTGAGGACTCTGAGTCACCCACATTATGTTTATGAGCTGAACTGAGAAGTTCCCTTAAAGGGGCTTCCTCTTTCTCTTACAGGACCTGTAGAAAAAAGAGAAGGGACGACAGATTTCTTGCTGGTCCTAAGAAAACAGCATCCCTTAGATGCTAAGCCTCCTGGCTATTGAAACATGGCATTTCCTTCTCTTGATTGAGTGGAGCGGAGGGCTTAATCAGTTTGGCTGCATTCCAAAGGTAGGACAAGGAGTGACTGCTCACTAATCATTTACTAACTGTAGCATACTGTAAGCTATAGAGTACCATGTAATAGAAAGGTCGGATAGGGTGGTGAACACATGGCTTTTTGATTAACAAAGATGTACCTCTTTTGTCCTGGCAGCAGTGTTTGCTTTATAGGGAAGGAAAATGAAACCTAGCAACTGATTAAGTAACTTGGCTAAAGGCATAAACCAAACAGTAATTTTGAATAGGAATTGATGACACTCCCTCTTCCCCAAGAAAGTGCAAGGAAAATGGGGAGGAAGGAGGGAATTTGATCCTTTGACATTGCCTAAATTACGATTTTATGTTTTATATCATAGTTGGGCATTCGCAGAGTTTAGCACTTGTGCCTGTGATTCAAATATTTAACTCTTAGTTAACAAGATTTAGAGGCAGAAGGATTGGCTTGATGGTGTTTGGGTTTTTTTTCTGCTAGATGCTCTTGTTTTAAGAGCACTAATAACACTCAACATGTGCAAATTTCCAGATAACTGAAAGTAGCATGAACGTGGAGGAACTCAGATAACTTAAATATGGAGGACAGAAGACCTTGTCCAGACGCCAGGCCCAGGAATCACCATACTAACCACAGAGGTGAGCAAGGTTTTCTATCTGAAGGGAAGGAAATTGAGTTCCCTAGGAATGAGCAGGCCTACAGAAGATTGACTGCATCTCTCAAGTAAAGAATGTCTTATTCCTTAGGTACAGTATGAATGACTGAAAAACAAACTGTCTGCCCTTTCCTTTCCTTAAGAGAGCTGATGAGTGGTTGTAGTCACTTGAGCAAAGATAATGATAAGGTGTCAGAAATAGAATCACTCTGGTTTAGATAGAGCGATGCTCTCCAACAGAAACACAATACAAGCCAAAAACATAATTTTTAATTTTCTAGTAGCATCATTAGAAAAAGCAAAAAGAAACAGGTAAAATCCATTTTAAAAATGTAATGCTAATTTAATAAAGGGTAATACTTGTGCTATTTAAACCAACATATCCAAATAATACTAGGGCTTTAGTCATTTTAATGTTTTTATTATTCCAAATACTCAAGTTTTATTGTGTTAAGATGTTAAAAATATATATATATAAATATAAAACTTTTTTTTATGAGATGTTTAACTTTTTTTGGTAATAAGTCTTCATAATTCCATGTGTTTTTTTACACATCTTAATTCAAACCAGCCACATTTAAGATGGTTAATAGTCACCTTTAGCTAGTGGCTATGTATTTGAGAGTGCATGTGTAGAGTTCTAGTTACCAAAGCAAAGTTAGTTCCAAAAACATCATTACTACAGTGATTGTTCTCTTTTGTTTGCTTAGAACGTTCTAAAACAAACCAGTCAAATAGACTCTTGCTTTTTCCCTAAGTTTACAACATGTCATCCAAGTTTTAGCTGTGGGACAAATGAGGAAGAAATGTAAAATCTTGTTTTACCAGTTTGGTGAATGTTGAAAGAGAAATGATACAATTTTCTATTCTTCCAAAACATTGAGTCTTCCAGTCAGGTCAAAATATTTAGAAAGTAGGACCTTATTCTGATACCTTGGGGGTTTGCAAACTAAATAAGAAAGTACCAATTACAAAAACTTACAGAGTTCAGTAGTACAGCACTAGTATTTTACCAAATATTTCTTTATGTTGTCACATTAAAATTTTCCATACAAGGGGCCGAACAAGGAAAAATGTTCATAAATGGATTTGGCATCTGATGTCATGAAATGGTATGATTGTCTTGTGTGATACATATTTGAAACTTCCATAACATTTTTATGATCAAATCGCCGTGTATAGTTTTATTTTGTTTGTTTTAAAAATCTCCAAGTCATTGTGCTAAGTTGGGTCAGCTCCAGAATCAGTTTTACAGGAAAGGTAAGTGAAAAAACTGGACTAGGACATGTTAGCCAAGGTCACTTATGAAATGTGTGGCAGATCCAGGAAGACAAATTTTGCTTCATCCAAAGGGTGATGTTAGCTTTTCTATGTAAAAGATGTGTCTCCTCCATCTCCCAAAACCTTCTTGTCTGAGGGTTGGTAATAGATAATATTATGTGGATGAATTCATGCTGCAGAAAGGAGGAAAACTTGAATTTAAATTTTTAGTTTCTGAAACAGAACTAAGTTTCATTTTTCAGTTTCCTGAGATAAAACTTCAGTTTCATTTTTCAGTTTCCTTCACAATCTGTTGGTTAGCTCAAAAACATCTTGGTAAAGGAAGCCCTGTCTTCCCTCTTTACCATCTGATGCTGGACAGAGTTCAAAAAGCACTTCTCTTTATAGTTTCATCCCACTTGATGCCTCTTGTTGCCTATGACATAATTGTTTAGTGGTAGAATCAGTGGTCCTAGAAATCAACAGGGTATTCCCAGTAGAAAATTCTTACTAGTGCTACTAGTAATAACTAACATTGATGAAAGCTTTTTGTATGTCAGGTACTATACTAAGCATTTGATAAACATTTAATCTTTACAACAACCCAGATATGAGGCTTAGAGAAATTACACAACTTGGCAACACAGTTACATAGTGAGGAAGTACCCAGGCCAATATTTGAGCCATGCCTGTTTGGCTCTGAATTCATGCTGTGACTATTGTTTGGTACTGGCAAGAGACTAGAAGCAATGGACTGATCTTTTGACCCTCTGAAACAATCCCAGCTTGCAAGGATTAAATGAGATACTGTAATTGTTTGTTCTGTAGTATGTATTAGGCACTCAAAGGATTTTCCCTTTTGCTCTTTTTGAAAACCTTTTCAGAATATATATAGCAACCATGGTAATCTGTAATATGTGACTTGATAGGAAACCTTTTTTTCTCTCCAAATAAAACTTAAACTCCTTAGTTGTTTTGGAAAATGAGAGCATATTCGTTGTTGTTCTGTTGGATTTTTTTGTACCTTGATTTTTGTGCTTAGCCAGTATCTCCGTTGTGTTTAGGGCCTATGGATAGAGAATTACCACCAAGAGCTAGAAATCAGTCCAATAACCCACCAGCCAATCCTTTCAGAGGAGGAGTTAATCAGCCAGGAAGGCAACCTAGGGCCAACAACCATCCTGTTCCTTACTGGCAAAGAGAAGAAAGGTTTGGAGCCATGGGCAGAAACCCACATCCAGGGAGGAGGAACCATGAGGGTAATACCAGTGATGAACCTAGAGGTCAAAGACATGGTAGTCAGAAGAATGATGCCAAGCAGAGAAACGGCAACCAGGAGGGAAGGAACCACAGACCACCATGGTCCGATGAAAATTTCCAGCAATGGCGAACCCCCCACCAGAAGCCTTCAGAACAGTCACAGCAGGTGAAGAAACTCGGCTATAAGTTCCTAGAAAGTCTTCTGCAGAAAGATCCCTCTGAGGTGGTCATCACACTTGCCACAAGTGTAGGGTTGAAGGAACTCCTGTCTCATTCTTACATGAAATCCAACTTCCTTGAGCTCATTTGCCAGGTTCTTCGGAAGGCTTGCAGCTCCAAAATGGACCGCCAGAGCATTCTCCATGTCCTGGGCATATTGAAGAATTCCAAATTCCTCAAAGTCTGCCTGCCAACTTATGTGGTAGGGATGATCACCGAACCCATCCCTGACGTTAGAAACCAGTATCCAGAACACATTAGCAACATCATTTCCCTCCTCCAGGACCTTGTAAGCGTCTTCCCCGCCAGCTCTGTGCAGGAAACTTCCATGCTCATTTCTCTCTTGCCAACTTCTCTTAATGCTTTGAGAGCCTCTGGTGTTGACATAGAAGAGGAGACAGAGAAGAGCCTGGAAAAGGTGCAGACCATCATTGAACATCTGCAGGAAAAGAGGCGAGAGGGCACTTTAAGAGTGGACACGTACACTCTAGTGCAGCCTGAGGCAGAGGGCCATATTGAGAACTACCGGACCATGCCCATTTACCCTACTTACAATGAAGTGCACTTGGATGAGAGACCATTCCTTCGCCCCAACATTATTTCTGGAAAATATGAAAGCACTGCTGTCTATCTGGATACCCATTTCCGACTACTGCGAGAGGATTTTGTCAGACCTCTGCGAGAAGGCATTTTGGAACTTCTCCAAAGCTTTGAAGACCAAGGCCTGAGGAAGAGAAAGTTTGATGATATCCGAATCTACTTTGATACCCGGATTATCACCCCTGTGTGTTCATCATCAGGCATTGTCTACAAGGTGCAGTTTGACACAAAACCACTAAAATTTGTTCGTTGGCAGAATTCCAAACGATTGCTCTATGGGTCCTTGGTTTGCATGTCCAAGGACAATTTTGAGACATTTCTTTTTGCCACTGTGTCTAACCGGGAGCAGGAAGATCTCTGCCGAGGGATTGTCCAGCTCTGCTTCAATGAGCAGAGCCAACAGCTCCTAGCAGAGGTCCAGCCCTCTGACTCTTTCCTCATGGTGGAAACAACAGCATACTTTGAGGCCTATAGGCATGTCCTAGAAGGACTCCAGGTGGTCCAAGAGGAAGATGTCCCCTTTCAGAGGAACATTGTGAAGTGTGACTCTCAGGTGAAGGAGCCAGTGTACTTGCTAATGGGGGGCAGATATGATTTCACTCCCTTAATAAAGAATCCCTCAGCCACTGGAGAATCTCTGAGGAATGCCGAGGGCTTGAGACGTCCCACAGTTAATGTCCTAGACCCCAGCCAGTGGCCCTCAAAAGAAGCCCTGGAGCTGGATGACTCCCAGATGGAAGCCTTGCAGTTTGCCCTCACAAGGGAGCTGGCTATTATTCAGGGACCTCCTGGAACAGGTAAGAATTTTTCAGAGTATATAACGTGCCCAATGAAATAGGCAAGGGAGGCGTGACTCTAGGTTTCTAGAATGTTTCAGTTAGAAACATTCCCAAGTAGCTGCTCAATAGTGATTTTCCAGGGGGACCCATTGGTATGCATAGTATAGATCAAAGTCACAAAGTTAGAAATGACTGCTAATGGGTCAGACTTAGCAAGATGCATTACTTCATCAAAAGTTACACTAATTTGTTTGATTTTATATTGTTTAATAATAGCAATCTGTGCCAAGCACCTTTTACATGCTTTACATAGTCATCCTCACAACAGTTGTGTGAGAGAGAGGATTATTTTTCCATACTAACAGAGAACTACCTCCAAGACACACTAAGTGAAAAAAAAGCAAGATGTAAAACAGTGAAAATAGTTGGCTACTATATGTATTAAAGAAAGGGGGAAGGCTAGAAAAATACATATTCATATTTACTTGTATATGCATAGACTGACTGTCTCTGGAAAGTTACACAAGAAAGTAGTAATACTGGTTGTTTCCAAAGAGGAACTGGATGGCTGGGGGACCCAAGAGCAAGGGGCTTATCATAATATACTCATTTGTACCTCTTGGATTTTAAACCATCTCAATGTTTACCTTAACATTCTTAAAAATAATAGTTTGCTGTAAGTAATTAGGAAGTCTCTTAAGTTTTTTAACTCTCCTTTTTTCCTTGTTTTCTAGGCAAAACCTATGTAGGTCTAAAAATTATTCAGGCCCTTCTAACCAATGAGCCTGTTTGGCAAATTAGCGTCCAGAAGTTCCCTATCTTGGTTGTGTGTTACACTAATCATGCTTTGGACCAGTTTCTGGAAGGTAATGTCCGTAGGCAAAATAGTTCTTTTATCAGGTAGCTGCTGAATCAGCAGCAACTTCAGTAGCTCGCTATTGCTCTGTAAATGAAGTCAGTGGTCCTTAACCATCACCTCCAAGGCTGGCTGTGTTCTTCTCCAGCCTAACTCTGAACCTTGTCTCCTACCTCTTCCCTTGTTCTCCCCTGCTCCAGGAACACTGATTGTCTTCAATTCTGTGAATTCTTCCCCCTTCTCCCTTGGCCCATGCTGTTCCCCCTCCCTAGAAGGCCCCCTTTCTTTCTCTCTTTCCATCTTTATCCCAGCCAGCCTGGCTGGCTCCAACTCATTCTTTAGGTCTCACCTTAAATCTCTCTTCAGGTGGACTTTCCCTGTTGCCTCCAGACAAGGTTAAGTATCTCCTTTTGTATTTTTTCTTCAGAAATTTAGCACATAATGTGATAACTTTTTGTATATGTCTGTATCCTAGACTGTAGACACTGAGGGTCACTGCTGTTTCTGCTGTATTCACAGATCCTGGCACTACTAGGTGCTCAAAAGATACTAATTATATTAATAAATGAATAAGTATATGTCCTTTCTTTTGCTTAGAATACTATTTTCCATTCTTCTGTATCATCTTTTCACCTAGATTAAATAAATCTTCCTTATTCTTGGAGTCTCAGTTTAAATATCAGATCCTCAAGAATTAGATTCTTACCCCTTACCCAAATTAGATAAGGTCCCCTGTTACATACTTACAGCATCAGGTACTTACAGTATTTACTGCATTTATTGCTAATGATAATAAATTATTTAATATACATCTTCTTTGCCAGACAGTGAGACAAGAGAACAAATTAAGAACTGAGTCTGTTTTGACCTCTGTATCTTCAGAATTTTGCTCATGCCTGGCACATCATAACAAGGCAATAAATAACTAGGGTGAATAATAGAGAACATTTACTAAGGGCTTACTTTGTGCTAGGCCCTACCTAGGGGCTAAAAGAATACTGTTATTTGTCCAGGCCATAGCCCTATCTAGAAAGTATTACTGGGTTTGAGTTACAGACAAACCGAGGCTCAAGTTAAGTAACTTATCCCAGGTTACGTACCAATAAGGGAGCCAGGATGAGTTCCCAGTTCCTAAAGCCTGTTCTCTTAGCACCACACTTTACTGCTATGCAGGTCCCATTTCTGGGACCTTCTTGTTCATTAATGGGGTAGATTTCTGTAAAGGACCAACTGAGATAACATCACAAACACATCCAGCTCTCACCTGAGAGAACTCTCAACTCTATTGTGCTTCACTTTGCTCTGTAGGCATCTACAAGTGTCAAACAACCAGCATCGTGCGGGTAGGTGGAAGGAGCAACAGTGAGATCCTGAGGCAGTTCACCCTGAGGGAGCTGAGGAACAAGCGGGAATTCCGCCGCAGCCTCCCCATGCACCTCCGCAGGGCCTACATGAGTGTGAGTCCTAGCTTTGGAATCTAAGGTCACTCAGGGAAATCAAACAAGATAGCAGTGGCTTTCTGCGTAGGCTGTCCAAGGAAGGTAGGGATGCTTGCAAAGCAGTGAAGGACTCAGGTTCCTTCCAGCCTTCCATCCTGCTAACCCCGTGGCATGACTTTTGCCCTCATTAATCCAAGGTGGAGAGAAGACAAAAGGCACATCGCCCCTCTCTGCCCATGCCAGGACCTTAAGATTGCTTCCCTCAAACCACCCAGAGCACTTCTACCAACAGCCCACTGACCAGGGAAAGGTCATCTTCTATCTGGGCAGCAATGTGCACAACCAAAACTCAGAGTTCTTGTTACTAAGGAGAAACGAGAGACATCTCCACCGCAGTATCCTTGGCCTGTTTTACTGTTGTATTTGTTTCCTTGCTGGTGGTAGGAGGCTTTCAGATATTTTAGATACTAATCCTTTGGTTTTAAGACCACACTAATGTGCTTGGGGAAATTGGTGACTGGTGTATATATTTATTCTCCTCTTTGCTATTCCTGTCTTAGCTTTGATTTCCCTCAAGGCAGAAACTGACTTTGGGGGACGATGATACTTCCTTCTCATTTCTTTCCCTCTGTTCTTGGCAGATCGTGACACAAATGAAGGAGTCGGAGCAAGAGCTGCACGAAGGGGCCCAGACCCTGGAGTGCACCATGCGTGGGGTTCTGCGGGAACAGCACCTGGAGAAGTACATCTCCCCACAGCATTGGAAAAGCCTTATGAATGGGCCCGAACAGGTAGGGGTCATCCTGGAAGACAAAGGCATCTCTCTGCCTTGGTATTTGGAGGGAGCCTTTAGCAAAATCCGTAGGCCAAAGCAGTAGCTGTTTGGTAATCTGATTCTGCCATAATGTGAAAAGTTCTTTTCATGAGGAGAGGCAGTTGAGTATACTGTTCAAGAACAAGACTCCGGAGCCAGCTTGCTGGGTTTGAATCTGTCTGTTTCCTCTTTTATAGAGTGGAGATAATAATATTAAGTTGAACCACATGAAATTGCCAGGATCTGTAAATTTGACTTGCAAAAATGGCAGTTTCTTACAAATCAACTTAATTCTTACAGGATTGTTATTTGGACAAACAAGTTAATATTTGTTTAATGTGTGCTGTAAGTGCTTGCTTGTTAAACAAAAGAAAATCATCACGAGGCAACCTAGAGAGCCTGGAAGTCACCAGACCTAAGTCGCACAGGCTGACTGTGTGACTTGGGCCAGCGTAGTTCTCAGGTCCCTCAGCAGTCCAACAAGGATAATAATAATACTTGCCTTCAAAGGTGTTATAACAAGTAACTCACACAATCTCTGTAAAGTGGCTGGCCAGGAAACCAGAGAAATGGTAGCTCTCATGACAGTGGGTTGGTGATTTCCAGGGTTATAAACCCAAAAGTCTTAAAGGTGTCAATCGGGTCCTATAAATGTCTGAAACAGGCTAAATATGAGACATTAGGAAGTAGAGGGGATTGGAAAAGGTGTGGCAGCAGCCCATTTCCAGCCATTTGTTGCCATTCAGGAATGCAGGCTCATTGCTGCTATAGCTCTTGATTTTGTCAAAACATGCAGGAAATATTTATTTCTAAAATTCTCTGCAAGCAAAAAAAAAAATCTGTGGAAGCCATATTAAATGCTCCAGATGCCAGAGTTACCAATTTACAACCTATAAATTTTTTTTCATCATTTATTTATTTTTTACTTATTTTTTTATTTTGGTATCATTACTATACAATTAGATGAGGAACATTACATTTACTAGGCTCCCCCCTTCACCAAGTCCCCCCCACAACCCCCATTACAGTCACTGTCCATCAGCATAGTAAGATGCTGTAGAATCACTACTTGTCTTCTCTGTGTTGCACAGCCCTCCCAGTGCCTCCCCCCACATTATACATGCTAATTGTAATGCCCACTTTCTCCCCCCTCCCTTATCCCTCCCTTCCCACCCATTCCCCATTCCCTTTCCCTTTGGTAACTTTTAGTCCATTCTTGGGTTCTGTGATTCTGCTGCTGTTTTGTTCCTTCCATTTTTTCTTTGTTCTTATACTCCACAGATGAGTGAAATCATTTGGCACTTGTCTTTCTCTGCCTGGCTTATTTCACTGAGCATAATACCCTCTAGCTCCATCCATGTTGTTGCAAATGGTAGGATTTGTTTTCTTCTTAAGGCGAATAATATTCCATTGTGTATATGTACCACATCTTCTTCATCCATTCATCTACTGATGGACACTTAGGCAGCCTATAAATTTTAAGGGAATTACTTTTGATCCTTCAAAGAGATGTTTCCTTCACACTGGTTGCCATAAAAGTCTTATGGCTGATAATTCTTCTTTCCTCAGGATAGCGAATGGGTTTGCTTCCAGGGCTGGAAACACTCCATGATGCTGGAGTGGCTGGGTCTGGGTGTCAGTTCTTTCACCCAGAGTGTTGCTCCAGCAGGACCTGAAAATACAGGTAAGAAGTACATGTCTACTTAGAATCATATTTTAAGATGGAATATGGTAAAGACTTGAAGAGCAAGACTTAAAAGTAGTACCTAGGATATGTAAAGAGCTATAACCAGTCAGAGAAAGACAAATTAATAGCTTAATAGGAAAACAGATAAAAGACTTATAGCAAGCACACCACAAAACAGGAAATACTAATGGTCAGTGAACATTTGAAAAGTGCTCATTAGAAACAGAAGGAATTAAAACCCCAGGGAGACACTGTTATACACCCACCAGATTGGCAAAAATTAAAAAGTTTGATATAACTCTGCATTGATAAGAATGTGGAACAGTGGCAGTGAAATAAGTCAGGCAGAGAAAGGGAAGTACCAGATGATTTCCCTCATTTGTGTAGTATAACAACCAAACAAAGCTGAAGGAACAAAACAACAGCAGACTCAGAGACTCCAAGAAGGGACTAGCAGTTACTAAAGGAAAGGGGGTGGGGAGTGAGGGAGGAGGGGCTTAAGGGGCATTATGATTAACACATACTGTGTAGGGAGTCACGGGAAAGGCAGTATAAGTACAGCACAGGGAAGACAAGTAGTGACTCTATAGCATCATCCTATGCTGAGGGACAGTGACTGCAATGGGGTGTGTGTGGCGGACTTGATAATATGGGTGAAGGTAATAACCACAATGTTGCTCATGTGAAACCTTCATAAGAATGTGTATCAGTGATATCTTAAAAAAAAGAAGAAAGATTTAATTTTGGGAAATCTAGGGGAAAAAAAGAATGTGAAACAGTGGGAACTCTTAATAGGCTGCTAGTGAGGTTACTAACTGCCACACACAATTAATGATGATAGAAGAACAGAGCTCAAATGTCCATCAACATTTGTACAATGGGTGGATCAATTACAGGCTGTTCAGACTGTATAGGAAAATACAGTGTGATTCCATTGATATAAAGAGTTCAAAGTCAAAACTAGGCAATATGTTGTTTTATATATGTGGTAAAGCTTTTTTTTTTTTAATGGGAGGAATGAGTAACATAAAACTTAGGTTAGAAGGGCCCACAAGGATCTCTGGCAACTTGCTGCACTGATGGACAGTGCCTGCATTGGGGTGTCGGTGGGGACTTGATAATATGGGTGAATGTAATAACCACATTGTTTTTTCATGTGAAACCTTCATAAGAGTGTAAATCAATCATACCTTAATAAAAAATGTAAAAAACAACAAAACAGAAGGGCCCACAAAGGTCTTAAAATAAATTGATAATTTTGTGCTTAAATTGGTTGGGAAGTCATAGATACTCATTTTTTGTATTTTTATCCTTTAAATCTCACATTTATGTTGTATATTCTTTGTGTATCTGACACAAATAAACCTCTTCAAAAGGCATACATTGATATGCTTTTTTAAATGTAACAAAAAACTATATAAGGCAACTTAAGTCTCCCTCCCCTGATTCATTGCTCCCAGTCTCCCTCCCCAGAGGATAACGTCTTAACCACTTAGACTCCTGAGAATGTCTTCTTGCATCCGAGCTCTTATAGGCGCCTTCCTTCATCCTTCGGCTTCAAGAGTCTCCATCCCATCTTGCCTGATTTCCTCTCTTAGTCCAGGCAGAAGGAGAAGAGGAGCAGGAAGAAGGGGAAGAGGAGGGCTCGCTGATCGAGATCGCAGAGGAGGCTGACCTGATTCAAGCCGACCGAGTGATTGAGGAGGAGGAGGAGGTGGTGAGGCCCCGGCGGCGGAAAAAGGAGGAGAGTGGGGCAGTCCAGGAGTTGGCTAAAGTGCTTCTGGCCATGAGGCTAGACAACTATGGCCCTGGAACAGCAGCGGGGCAGGAACAAGCCACAGGAGAGTGGGAGGTAAGCTCACTTCCTCGTGGCCCCTGAAAGCCTTGACAGTGGGAAATGGGGATTCAGTTATTACTGCCAAGTGGAGGGGCTAGACTTCCTGAAACGGGCCTGGGACCATCTGTTCTGATCTGAACTGCAGCTCTTATTTTTGCCCACTTCTGTTACCGCAGTATATTTACCTCATCTTCACAGTTAGCTTAATTTATCCATTTTACAACCTAACTCTGGTATAAGGTGGGTCCAATTCCCAATAGTCTAAAATCGGCATTTCAGAGGGGCCTTGGTAAGAAATTGGTAAGACAGGAGCAGGTAGCGAAGTGTTTCTCTTGAACTTTTAGAAAAGTGCAGCACATGTGAGTCAGGTCAGAAACTTATGGTCTCAGTGCTCAGTGCTTGTACGGATGTTACCTTCTCCACTACAAATAAGTATGTAAATATGTGTAACGATTTTAGAGGATTCAAGTAAAACAGAATGAAGCAGTCCATGCAGATGGGGTGAAATACTCATCCTTCATTCACCCTGGAATTAGCTTTTTCTCTTAAAGCCAGAGTATTTGAATGCCCAGCCTTTCCCTCTGTGTCTTAACTTTGGTAGAACCCAGTGGTCCTCAGAATTTACCATGCATTACTGTTGACAGTAGAGGGCTGGACACTAAAAGTAACATTTTCTGAACCCCATTGATTTAAGGGACTTTGAAGGGCAACTTTGCCTGGAAGCAATTTTCACCAATCTGCTGGCTTTGGACCTGGTCTCCTAGTTGAGATCAGTATTACTGTATGTGATGGACAGAGTCTGATCCCAATACTAGAAGCATGGATTGGGCAAATCTCTGGCCCCTGGCCTCAGGAGGAATTGGTTTATTTGGTTTTGATTTGGAGGCAGGTCCATAATACTGTGACATACATCTTGTGTACTAATCCTTCTAAAGGCTCACAGCCTCAGACTCAGTGACAGAGTCAGGGGAGGGCACTTGCTCCTAAATGGTGCCTTTTACCTACTCATTAAAGGTACTTGCTTGATATGTTGGCATTAAGACTGTCTTAGCAGGCACTGTACATTATTCATCAAAAGAGGGTCACCTCCACTCCTTTGATGATACACAAGTTTTAGGAATGAGAAGTAGTCTGTGGTCAGTGATAAGTAGTGCCAGCGCTTAGCTCAGTGCTTGCTGTGCATTTACTCCTTCAGCCAGTCTAGCAATCTGTGAAGAGGTACTGTTACTGTTCTCATTTTATAGAAGGTGATTCTGAGGCATACAGAGGTTCAGCAACTTATTCTAGGTGCCACACCCCTTAAGAGGTTTATGGGGCTTTGAACCCAGGCAGACTGGCTCACAGCCCTTTTGAGCCACTCTGCAATGGCATATCTGTTAGGAGAGTGCGAGACACTTGAAAATGTTTATCAGATGTGGCAGTCCCTTTTTTGATGTGCTCTGGCCCCCACCTCAGGTATAGAACTGGGCCTGCCTCTGTCTCATGCCCCTGGCTATTATTAATGTCTACAGACCCAGCGCAGCCAGAAAAAGAAAATGAAGAAGAAAGTGAAGGTTGAGCTTCGCAAACTGAACACCATAACTGAGGCCGAGGCCAATGAAATCCAGGACGTTTGGCAGCTGGACTTGAATTCCCGCTGGCAGCTTTATAGGTATTGTGCCTACCCGGGACCCAGCTCCTGGTTACCCATATAATTTTCCTGGAGGGTCCCTTTTCTGTTCCTAAAACATAACCCCCACAGATCTTCAACAGTGTTCACTAAAGACTGCGCACCCTCACTGAGCTGCTTGCTAGGGATGCAGCCTAGAAAGGAGTCTATCAGGGGAACAGATCAGTTAATTGCATAAATAAAAGGTTACAAATGGGCATAAACACTAAGAAAGAAAAGAGCAAGGAGTGTTAAGGACATTAACATGGGATCTGAGCTGGTCTTAAGTATACATGAAAATGACATGGGAGGCAAGATTTGAAAGATGAATAGGCATTCACAATGCCAGTAGGGAAGGAGAGCAAATGAGAGTGTGGGCACCATATAGGTAAAGTCCTTGAAATGAAAAGGAGCGTCTGTTTCAGAAATTGAACTGTGGCAGAGAGAGGAGTGGAAAGTGAGGTCAGGGAGGTGGGCGGGGGCCAGACTGCAGGGCCTCAGAGCTAAGGTGCGAGGAGTGTGGATTCTGTCTGTAGAATCTCACAAGGCCACTGGAAGTTTTACAGTAGAGTAGTGACTAGATCTATTTTACTGTAAGATAAGACTGGACAATTAGGGGAGGGGGAGGCTACCTAGGCAGGCATAGGGCAGAGAGAATTTGTGAGACATTCTTGAAGCTTTTGAAGTCCCCTACTCTCTTCCCAATAATTAACCTCTGTTCCTCCTTAGCTCATGACCACTTAGATACATCTCTTCGCACACCTTTTTGTTGGGCATTTTGGACTCTTGGATCCCTGCACAACTGGGTCTCTCCTCCCTCTCCCTATGGCCTGTAAGCTCCTCGGTGGTCTAGGTTTACTTACTGCACAGGGCATACTGAAGGGAGTTCCTCCACCTTCTTAAAGAACACATAGCTTCCTCTGCCTGGTTCTTCACATTCTCCAGGCTGTGGCTACAGATGTACCAGGCCGACACCCGGCGAAAGATCCTCAGCTATGAGCGCCAGTACCACACATCAGCAGAGAGAATGGCTGAACTGAGACTCCAAGAAGACCTGCACATCCTGAAAGATGCCCAGGTTGTAGGAATGACAACCACAGGTAAGACAACACGGGGACATTTACATGTTCCAGCTGTTCACTCCTGCTGCCAAGCTCCTATCAGATTATCTAGGACAGATACAGAGAAGCTTCTTCAGTAAGTTAAAGGAAAATGCCATGAAGAGCTATTGAAAGCAAGCTGTGTTTAGAGAACTGTTAGTGAAATTCAACCACTTGCTCCTGTTGTGTTGGAACCCCAACAATGGCCAAAATGAGTATGGTGTTCTAGAGACCACCCAGCAGCACTCATTTTCTCATTCAGTGGTCACCATAGCCTTGGGTGAATGTGAGATCTTGGTTCTCACAGACTCAGGTCCAGGAGCCCCTGACCCAGAAGTCCTGTGGCCTGGTGGGTCCAGTGCATCAGCTCAGAGGAGCCTTTGGTCTCTTGACTCAAGGTGCAGCCAAGTATCGCCAGATCTTGCAGAAGGTGGAACCTCGGATTGTTATCGTGGAAGAGGCTGCTGAAGTCCTAGAGGCCCATACAATTGCTACATTGAGCAAAGCTTGCCAGCACCTCATTCTGATTGGGGACCACCAACAGGTAGGGCAGAATCCCCTGGACGATGGGCTAGTTCTTTGGGCAATGGAATCAGATAAGAAGTCCTTGGGCTCTCTGCTTTATCATCCCTAAATTTATTAATGGCTTTCTGTGATTTCTCTTTTCTTCACTTCCCATGTTCAATCTAAAAGCAAGTGCTCTTAGATTTGGGGTGTATTTTAAAGGTAGCATCCATTTCATCTGTTCCCTCTGCTTCTTTACTAATCCACCATGCTTTTTAAGTGGACTATTACAACAGCATGCTCTCTGTCCCCCTGCTTTTATTTTGCATTCTCTAATCCATTCTTCATAATGAATGGATAAGCCAAAGTGAACTAAAAAAGAAAACTAAACCAGATCATGTCACTCCACATTCCCATTGCACTTAATATAAAAGTCAAACTTCCTAAAGTGGCCTGCCAAGGCAGATAGTCTCAGGGTTCAGTCTCCTTCTCCGACTTCACCTCATACCACTATCTCATTTGCTTACTGTGTGCCCACCCGTGTTCTTCCTGCTCCCCACCACTGCTTGCTTTTCAAATGACTGGCAACTTCATGCTGGCGTCAACTCACATGTCACTCTTCTGTCTAAAGAAGCCTCACCTCTGGACACTTAGTCACATCACCCCATTTGTTACCTTCAGGGCCCTTTTTGCTCTTTATCCTTAGCCTCTCAGCTCCCAGAGCAATACCCGGCACACAGAAGGCACTTGAAAAACATTTGATGGGCAGATGGGTGAATGGATAGTTAAAATACTTTTTCAGTAGAGTCCTCAGACATGTTTCTCTTTTCAGCTGCGCCCCAGTGCCAACGTGTATGATCTGGCCAAGAATTTCCATCTGGAGGTGTCCCTCTTTGAACGGCTGGTGAAAGTAAACATTCCCTTTGTCCGTCTGAATTACCAGGTGAGAAGCTGGGCCTCTGTTATTACCACATGTCCAGGAGAAGGTTCCTGGGAGCCTGCCAGCTGCCAGCCAGGAAGATATCATAAGAATAAAATTGGCTTAATAATGAAATGGTTCTGTCAGATTAATTTTGTTTTCTGTTTTAAAATATCACAAGATCACCCTGTGTTGAGTTTGTGTTGGACTAAAGAGCCGTTTACATTCTGCTCTTTTCATCCTGTTACTCTTTTCAAGTGCCTCCCCAGATTTTACACCATTCAGCATCCTGGTCTTTAGAAAACTGCCAATTTATTCTGTGCCCATGTTTCTAATGACATTCATGTCTTGTTTTAGCACCGTATGTGCCCTGAAATTGCCCGACTTTTGACGCCACACATTTACCAGGATCTAGAAAATCATCCCTCCGTTCTCAAATATGAGAAGATTAAGGTGAGTGTTTCCTACCAGTTCTTCCTCTGATGCTGTCAGCAACCTGGAAAGCTGTATTTTCCTCAGAATTAAAAAAGGGCCTTCAGAAGGAATAGAGCCAACTTTTTTTTTAAAGATGGTTAATAAGAGCAGGAATAACTACATTGATGGACAGTGACTGCAGTAGGGTATGTGGTAAGGACTTGATACTGGGGGGAATCTAGTAACCAGAGTGTTGCTCATGTGATTGTATATTAATGATACCAAAATAAATAAGTAAAAATTAAAATTAATTAATTAAACGACCTGTTTTGTGCCACAGAAAAAAATAAGAAGAAGAAGAATAGTATAGCACTTGAGAATATAGAACTGGGTTTTTGAGTCCTGTCTCTGCCACTTAGTAGCTCTGTAATCTTTTAGCAAATTGTACTCCAGTTCTGAGTGTCAGGGTGTTCTGTACAGTGAGAATAACAGGAGCTGCCTTGCTCTGTTCTTGTATTGAAGGAGATGATGTGTATAAAGCAGTCAGCCCAGTGGCGTGCTTGTAAGTTGTAAGTTGGCTGCTCTCTCGTCACCTTCATCATCATAGTTGCTGCCTGTTCCCTGGACCGGAATGGTTGGATTTTGGATGGCTCTTACAAGTATTAATATCAAACAGATGCCTTGAAAACCAAAATAGATAAGTTCTTTATCCATGTGATTATTTGCCATGGCCCCAAAACAAAGCACATGGTGACTGACTAACTTTTTGTTTAGTGGCGTATACAAAAGGCCTTCCAAGCTCCCTGCCTGGAACACGGCTAGGGACCAACACATATGAAGATAGGAAGAAAAAACTGCCATGAATGGATTTTCTAACATGTCACTTCTTTTCCTTTCCAGGGGGTCTCTTCCAACCTTTTCTTTGTAGAACACAACTTTCCCGAACAGGAAATCCAAGAAGGCAAAAGCCACCAGAACCAGCATGAGGCTCGCTTTGTGGTAGAGCTGTGTAAGTACTTCCTGTGCCAGGAGTACCTGCCGTCCCAGATCACCATCCTCACCACCTACACTGGGCAGCTCTTCTGCCTGCGCAAGCTCATGCCTGCTAAGACATTTGCTGGTGTCAAGGTCCATGTGGTGGACAAATACCAAGGGGAAGAGAATGATATCATCCTTCTCTCACTAGTGCGGAGTAACCAGGAAGGCAAGGCAGGTTTCCTCCAAATACCCAACCGCATCTGTGTGGCCTTGTCCCGTGCCAAGAAGGGAATGTACTGCATTGGAAACATGCAGATGCTGGCCAAAGTGCCTTTGTGGAGCAAGATCATCCACACTCTTCGAGAGAACAATCAAATTGGCCACACACTCCGGCTCTGCTGCCAGAACCATCCTGATACTCACACCTTAGTATCCAAAGCTTCTGACTTCCAAAAAGTTCCCGAAGGAGGCTGCAGCCTACCCTGTGAGTTCCGGCTGGGCTGCGGGCATGTTTGCACTCGTGCCTGCCACCCCTATGACTCCTCACACAAGGAATTCCAGTGTATGAAGCCATGCCAAAAGGTCATCTGCCAGGATGGGCACCGGTGCCCCCTTGTTTGCTACGAGGAGTGTCAGCCTTGTCAGGTGAAGGTATGCAAAATCATTCCCCGCTGTGGCCATCAACAAATGGTTCCTTGTTCCATGTCTGAGTCAGACTTCTGCTGCCAAGAGCCTTGTCCCAAGGTCCTGAAATGTGGACACAGGTGCAGCCACCCATGTGGTGAGGACTGTGTACAGTTGTGTTCAGAAATGGTCACCGTAAAACTCAAGTGTGGGCACAACCAGCAGGTGAAATGTGGTCATGTGGAAGACCTCACGTATGGCCTGCCAGTCAAGTGCACCACTGAGTGTGGCACCATCTTGGACTGTGGGCATCCTTGCCCTGGCTCCTGCCACAGCTGCTTTGAAGGGCGCTTCCATGAGCGCTGTCAGCAGCCCTGTAAGCGCCTGCTCATCTGCTCACACAAGTGCCAGGAGCCATGCATTGGTGAATGCCCACCCTGCCAGCGGACCTGCCAGAATCGCTGCGTCCACAGCCAGTGCAAGAAGAAGTGTGGAGAACTGTGCAGCCCGTGTGTTGAACCCTGTGTCTGGCGCTGCCAGCACTACCAGTGTACCAAACTCTGCTGTGAGCCCTGCAACCGACCCCCGTGCTACGTGCCTTGTACTAAGCTGCTGGCTTGCGGCCACCCCTGCATTGGTTTGTGTGGGGAACCATGCCCCAAGAAGTGCCGTGTCTGCCACCAGGAAGAAGTCACTCAAATCTTCTTTGGCTTTGAGGATGAGCCTGATGCCCGCTTCGTGCAGCTAGAAGACTGCAGCCACATCTTTGAGGTGCAAGCCCTGGACCGCTACATGAATGAGAAGGAGAACGAAGTTGCTATCAAGTTGAAAGTCTGCCCTATCTGCCAGGTGCCCATCCGCAAAAACCTGAGATATGGAACCAGCATCAAACAGCGGCTGGAGGAGATTGAAATCGTCAAGGAAAAAATCCAGGGCTCAGCAGTGGAAATCGCAAGCAGCCAGGAATGGCTTAAGGCCTTACTGGAGAGCCAGAGCCTCCTCTCCCAGGTGCTTCCTGAAGACTTCCTGATGTTGAAGGAGAAGCTGACCCAGAAAAATCTGTCAGTGAAGGACCTGGGCCTTGTTGAGAATTACATCAACTTTTATGGCCACTTAGCTGGCCTGTGGGAATCCTTGGAAAAGGTGTGTGTCTTAGAACAAAAGAAAGTGAGGACTCGACTAGAGCAGGTCCATGAGTGGCTAGCCAAGAAGCGTTTGAGCTTCACCAGCCAGGAATTGGATGACCTCCGAAGTGAAATCCAGAGGCTCACATACCTGGTGAACCTCCTGGCCCGCTGCAAGATAGCAGAGGGGAAAGTGAGGGGTAGCATAGCAGAAGAGGTGTACAGTGTCCGAAGGATCCTGGAGGGAACATGTAAATTCACCCAGGAGGATGAGCAGCTTGTGCAGAAAAAGATGGAAGCCCTGAAAACCACCCTACCCTGCTCTGGCCTGGGTATCTCAGAGGAAGAACGAGTGCAGATAGTCAAGGCCATGGGTTTTCCTCGTGGCCACTGGTTCAAGTGCCCCAATGGCCACATCTACGTGATCAGCGATTGTGGGGGAGCCATGCAGAGAGGCACATGTCCTGACTGTAAGGAGGTGATTGGAGGCATGAATCATACTCTAGAAAGTAGCAACCAGCTTGCTTCTGAGATGGATGGAGCACAGCATGCTGCCTGGTCTGACACAGCTAATAACCTGATGAACTTTGAGGAGATCCAGAGGATGATGTAGGAAGATGGCACACCGCTGCCTTTTGCCCAGCCACCACATGGCTGGGGTCAGCTCCCTTATGTAGGAACCGAAGTTTGTTTTTTATTATTATCCTTTAGTCTTAGCACCTATTTAAGGATCCACTTTTAGGGCTGCCCACATTTGTTTCTAGATTTACCCCTGCGCTAGAATAAGCACTTTACCTCCAGAACTCAGAGCTGAATTAACAATTTCTCTTCTTTCTCCTGCATTAGTGGACACACTCCCTGGAGCATGTTTGGGGCTTCCACCTAGGGCTACCTAGTGGTATCTCTAGGTTCTGACTCAGTCAGATGTTTTTTCTACAGTGCTCCCGGGTAGGATATGAGCTCATAGAAACACTCATTCTAATTTCCAGGCCCTAACTTGCAGACTAACTTTCATTCTAATAAGAGAGGCCCAGAGGGGATATTTACGAACCAGTTTCCCCTCAAGGAGCACAAGAATCCCTCCCGCCCTCCTCAGGCCCCCTCATTCCTGGAGATGGAGGCCTGGGTGAAGACAAAGACTCCACTGACCAATCCCGACCTACTTACATAGTCACTGAGTAGGAAAAGTGTGACTGTCCCCAGCCGAGGGCTCGTGAAGCAGGCCTGGGCTAACCCGAGTTATCCTGTTGTGTGTATTACCTGTGATGTGCACTTTGGGATGGTAACGGTGTTTTTGCTTGCAGTAGGAGAGGTTCAGTAACAGTACCAGCTCCCGGGGGCCCTGAATGGAACTAAACTCACATTTGGTACCAGCAGCACCTATCCAAAGTGTGACCCTTTGCCCCAACACCCTCTTGCATCTTTTGCCTGGGTAGGGTTAGCATGCCAGCAGCTTCTGCAGGCCCCAAACCCATGCCAGAAGCCAGCCCCCAGGCCTGCTGCCTACATACATACCCCCTTCAGTCCAGTGTTTCCTAGACACTTAGGCATCTCAGGTCTTTCTAATGTCTGCAAGAAAAACTTCCCTTTCCTATGTATGCATTTCCTTTTTTGTCTACTATGCACTTTAGCCTATAAAGCCAATTAATAAAAACTGATTGAGAAAATCAGTGGTCCATATTTGTCCTCAACTGTTAAAAAGAAGCTTAGGCAGCTTGAGGCAGGATGGGCGTGGAAGCACCACCTACAAGGAGGCCATTCTTTCGTTCTGGGATGGGGCTTTTACTTAGCTGGTGTGTCATTTTCACTCATGGCAGAAGCTTCTTTGACCTATACTAAAGGGCAAATCAGATTCCCTTCCCCAGAGCAATGCTGTTAACAGGTACTTGAGTCTTCCCAGAGATAATCTAGGCACATGCAACACACAGCCCTTAAAAAAGAAAAAAGTACAAGTTATGCACTTGGCTTTTAGCCTAACAACTAGCTTGTGGGTCCTTCTGGAAGCATATACAGTGGGTACTTCATGCAGGTGTGCCATTATTTACTGAAATGGATCCCTCTGTTGGTCATGGTTAGGTACAACCTAAATGAATAGCTTTGAACACACCCTTTAATGTCAAGGTTACATGCTACTGGGTAACTATTAGAATTTTTGAGCTGGGGTGGAGCATCTGTACTCCCTGCAATTATATATGACTTAAACCACAGTTTTCTTAAGGAGTGGCCCCTAGCTTTTATCGCATGTCAAAAGGACCTGTGATTCATCATTCTACACAGTAAAAGCTGTTCTTTTTGTAACAAGGCGCTAACTTTGAGATCCCTTCTGTTACGTTTGAGCTCCCACTTCTCAGGTAGCATTTCCACAGAACAGTCAGGGATCTGTATGGGTTCAGGTATCTCTTGGTTTCAAAACCTGAATTTCCAACTAACTGGGAAGTTACTCCACCTTGCCAAGCCTTTGTTTATTTGCCAAATGGGGCTAACAGTCCCTGCCTCACAGGAGTAGAGTGAACTGAACAAGACCATGCTCAGAACACAATTTTTAGTAAACAGTTGGTACTCTACAAATATTCTATAATACCAACAGACGAGAACATGCAACAATCTCCTCACTCCACATCCAGTTCCTCTACAAGCATAAAGGTGCATTCCAAGAATATGCGGCCGTGCCAAGTGGGCAGACTTGAGGGTAGACTGTGCTCTTGATGGGAAGAGACAGGAATAAAATAATACAGTGAGACTGGTTTCTTTCCCCTTCCACAAAATACTTCCATTTGGTACATTCTTCATGGGAGAGCCAATCAGCAAGAGGGACACTTGGCCGACCGATGGAGGTGCTTAGGAAGCAACTCTACTCACTACCCCCACTCCCACCCCAACTGTTTTTCTTTAATGGACAAATGACACAGACTTAAGTTTTAAAGAATTTTTTTATGAATGAAGAAAAGACAGATCAGGCCGAGATGACTTCATACAAGGAAAGGACCTAAGGGTCGCCCCACGAACTTGCATCACCACTGTTACTTCCTCCTCTTGTACCTATTAAGAAAACCAGCAGCGTAAAGACCAACCTCCAAGACCAGAGACAGGAAAGAGGAGCTTGTTTCCAATGAAAGGTTTCCTCTCCAATCCCAAGCAGTCAATCTCTGGCCCTTCAAAATAGAAACATTACCTGGATTTAGATTTAAAGTTTCCTCCTCGTCTCTGGTGGGGCAAGCCCAACTGTTTCCTTTCTTCAAAGGAGGGGCTGTAAGAGAAGACGAGATGCCCAAAGGGCAAGCTGACAAATGGGTGATAGCTCACCTGCAACCCAGTTCCCACACGCAGCAGCTGCCATCACAGAAGCATTGCTTCGGGGCCTGAGGCTTTAAGCCTGTATTTCCACCAGATGATATGGGTTTGTGGAAGTCAGGGCCCAACTTCAGAACAAGACCGCAAGGGGCCCTTCTCATGTATGTATAAAACTACTTGGGAAACAGTCTAGCTCCTTCCCAACTCTGGCCAGCCTTGAGGGGACACACTTCCAAGAGCAAACAGGATCTTTTGTTTGGAGTTCAATCACTCTCCTGAGGGAAAGCTCTATTTCTGAACCAAAGATGTGCACCATGCAGGGGGCCTCAGCACTTCTCTAGTTCTCATCCTGGGATCATGGACTGGGGAGGGGAGGGAGGCAGACAGGAGCCCTTGACATTATGTATTATAAAGCTGCAGTGGGGAAGAAGGGAGAAAATATTCATAGCTTTCATCAAAATACCAAAAGTTCTGTGATGACTTAAAACCCTACCCAGCTCGATACTGTTTGAGGGCCTTCTTGCTTGTGTTGGTGAGTTCTTCATCAAACACAGATTTCTTCACCTGCTTTTGCTTCTTGGCTGTGCACAGAAAGAATGGGTTAAACATACCTTTGTAACCATCAAGCTCCTCAATCCTCAGGCTCAGGTTAATAGTTCCAAGTTCAGTGGGTGCTCTGGCCCGATGATTTAATTGACATGGAGGGGAGACCTCATATTCCAGCAGAAAAGGGTTGAGGAATCAGTAGTAGTACCAGGTGTAAAGAACCACACTAAAGGATGACTGCAGAATCCAAAAGTGAAACAGACCACTCACATGTGAAAAGGGCCAAAGATCATCTTCACTTCCTTCTACCCTGCCCCACTCCTCCAAGTAGCAGCTGGTAAGGGCTTAGGCTCCAGAGATGGAAAGGCCTGGGTTCAAATCCTAGCTTTCTCCACCAACTACAGGGTCATTTCACCATTTGGAGCCAAAAGGATAGCTGTACACACTGGTACTAACTCATTACTCAGAAAATGTGGGCTCTTATCATTGTCCTTCCAGTTTTCTCCCTGCCCCAAGCAGGTTTCAGACAGAACCTTCCTACCAGGAGCCAGCTCCTACAGGCTCCCCACGTGCCTACCAGGGCCTCTCACTGGCTCCTCCTCGGGCATTGCTCGGGCCCGCTTGGCTCTGCGATTCCTCTTGGCCAGCCGCTCAGCAAACATCTGTGCCTTGAGGATTTCAAACTGGGACCTCTCCTCTGCCTGGAGAGGATGATGCGTGAGTATGGGCCAGACCAGGCAGCCCTGACCCAAGTCCAAAGGGACAGCCACTCACTGTCATCTCCCCCTTTTTCTTGGCATCCTTCATAAACTTCTTCCTTTTCTTCTTTCCTCTTAAGGCCAAGTCAAACTCCTGCAGAGCCTTGGCAACTGGGATGAGAAGGGAGCATTAGATTTCAGGTACTGTTCTGTAACTTTTTTCAAACTTAAAATAAGTGCACATGTTTTAAACTGGTACTTAAGGGCTTAAAATGAGAAAAGAGCAATCACCTCCTCTTCTAGTGGTTATCGTTTTTACTAAGTAACATACTTGTTCTACTATTTCTCAGTCCATTTAAGAGATTCATTATCTATCTCCTGTTATGAAAGCTGAAGATTTAGTTCACTTCCACAACCCCCCACACCTTCCCACAGTAGTTATTTCTGTTTTTAACACAGGAATTTAACATTCATAGATTCTTAATTTTTTGTCCCATCAAACATAAGCAGTTTTTCTTAAACTGCTAGTACAGTCTAGTCAGAGGGTAATCTTGCAATCCCTAACAAAATAATAAATACATACACCCTCTAACCTACAGTTCTACTTTCAGGAATTTATCCTATAAATCAAATCTACTTTCTTAATTGTTAAAGGGCACCTGTATCTAAACAGGTGCATCAACTTGTTTACAACAGCAAAACATTTGAAATGACCTCAATGTACTTTAATGGGGACAAATTAAATAAATTACAATCTATCCATATGATGGAAGACCATGTGGCCAATTAGGGAAAAAAAAGGTGGCTACGTGTGCACCTATATAAAACAATACCCAAGCCATAAAATTAATTGAAAAAAGCAAGGTGTAGAAATAAGTGAATTCATTTGTGTTAAAAAAAAAAAAAGGTGGAGAGCTGGGGGATGACGGCAAGAGGAAAGGAATTTATGTTAACTATCTTCCTAAATTAACTTTTTTAAACTGTGGCAAAATTAATTTAACAAAAAATTTGCCATTTTACCCATTCTTAAGTGTATAATTCAGTAGCATTAATTATATTCACAACATTGCACAACCATCACCATTATCTGTTTCTAAAATTTTCATCATCCCAAACAGAAGCTCTTACAACCATTTAGTAATGGGGGGTTCCTCCCCCCAACTCTGGTAATCCCAATTCTACTTTCTCTGTAAGAATTTGCCTCTCACTTGATAATATGGGTGAATGTTGAAACCACAATGTTGTTCATGTGAAACCTTCATAAGATTGTACATCAATGATATTATAATAATAAAAGCATTTGCCTATCTAAGTACCTCACATAAACAGAATCATAAGTATTTATCCTTTGTGTCTGGATTATTTCACTTAGCATGTTTTTAAAGTTCATCTTTGCAGCCTGTGTCAAAACTTCATCATGGCTGAATAGTATTCCATCATTTACTCACACCCCATTTTGTGTTGTGTATTTGTTCATCTATTGATGGACACAGTTGTTTCTAATTCTTTGGCTATTGTGAATAATGCTTCAAGGACTGCTGGCAAATATCTGTTTGAGTCCATTTTCAATTCTTTTGGGCATAGACCTAGGAGTGGAATTGCTGGGTCCTACAGTAATTCTCTGTTTAGCTTTTTGATAAACTCCCAGGACATACTTTTCTCCTTCTTCCTCTCTTCTTTGGTCTGGAACCAGCTCCTCTCAGGTTCATTAGGTGCCTCCTTCCCCTTTTCCAGGAGCCGCTTTGCTGTGTTGATCTGTGGGGGGACAGCACAAGGGTGTCTGCCGTGAAATCTACATCTGATAATAGAGAACATGACAGACGCAGGAAGCCACTGCTTCCAAGCTTGGGACTCTGTCATGGTTTGTTTAGCAGACACAGCATTCTGGACGAGCAGAACCAGCAGGGGCTGGTGCAGTCTGCTTACTGAGCAACACAGTGACCAGGGCCCTCCTCACGGCCTCACCTGGGCTTCCGACTGTTGCATCTCTTTTTCCTCAGCCTCTAGTTGCAGGACTGCATACACATCTTTCTCCATGGTCTCAATCTTGTCCCGGAATTTGAGGATGACATCTTGAAGGAAGAGAACAAAAAAGATTTTTAAATAATGATAAATACTGTATAGTTAATGAG